TGTAGGAAGGCAGATCCCAGGCAGTTTCGGGCATCCTCATTGACTTGAGGAGTTGGAGCTGACAGTCAGGAAGTATCTGGGTGATGAGAGCTTGCAGGGCAGGTGACAGGAGAGAGCTATGAGGAGAGAAGTGTGGAGACGGGAAGAAGGCCCTCCTCCGGTGTCAAGTGTGTGTATAATGAAACTGCTCAGGCCAGAAGGGGGTCACCTGAAGGGATCCAAGGGAAGGCACTGACACACAGGGCTGAGAGTGGCGTCTTTCCTGCCAGCCAGCCTGGAGACCACGCTCACTCACGAGACACTCAGAGAGGACGCAGTTGTACCCGGCAGTGGTAAACAACCCTCCACAAGCATGGCTCCAGCTGCCTTACAAAGCCTGAACGCAAGACCTGAAGGATCAAACCATTCGCAAGTAATTTAACTGGATTCCAGATCCAAGCCTAAAAAGACTTTTAGGAATACAAAATGACCCAGGACTTTCAACAGTACAAAATTTACAGTGTATAATTTTCAATTAAAATTTACCAGGTATGCAGAGAAGTTGGAAGATGAACCCAGGATATGATAGAAATACTAGAATTAGCATACAGGGTTATGAAACAGAAGGAAGTATTAGTGAGCTTGAAGGTAACAACACAGTATCCAAAATCCTATATATAGAGAAAAATGAGTCCAAAAAAATGAACAGTTTCTATGTGCTCTGGGACAGTTTCAGACAGCCCAATACGTATGTGCTTAGGGTCTTGAAAAGGGAGTTAGAGCAGAAAAAATGTTTTTAATAAATTACAGCTATTTTCCCAAGTTTATTGAGAACTTTTAGCATACAGATCAATAAAACCAAACTTGAGAAACACAAAGAAAATTATTACAGAGCTCAGCATAATTGCCCAAAACCAATGACAAACATCAAAGCTTAAAAATAGGGGGGGAAAAAAGGCACATTAAACCCGAAGCAACAAAAGGAAGGCTAACAGCAGGTTTCTGCTCACACTCTCAGCCCCTCCACGTAATTGAAATGTACGTTAGCTGTAACAGCGGAGTACACGTGGAGCGTTTACCAGCGTTGGCCATATCCTGGGCTT